TTCCAAACAACATCCCAAAAGTTGCACAACGTGTCTTCAGTTTCAGTCTTCGACATTTGCTGAAGGATCTTTGGTGTGAGTGTTGTTTTCTTGAAGTATTGTTGTCTCTGAATGAATTACAAAACAAGTTCTTCAGCGATCACTGAACAAGCTCAGTGTTTTGATCGCTGGAACCGAAAGTGCAGAAACACAGAAATACATCGAAAGGAAAAAGGGATTATCATCAAATCACTGAGAGAGAGGATCAACACCTATCCTGCACAGGTTTCAGTGTATTTATACTACAGACACCAAATTGTTTCACCGGCTAACAACCAACTGAAACCAACCCCAATATCTAACAACTAGTTCATTACAAATTAACAATAAGCCCTTAGTATATTAATTGAGGGAACTTTGAAGATATCCCAATAGCTTGGAATGAGAGTAATCAAAGCCAACTCACCAACTTCTTAAATAGTGTCATAATGTGGTCCTTAATATACAACCACACACACAAATATTAAAACATTAGTTAAGAATAAAATAGTAAAGGGAATATATACACATCTAGAATAATAATAAAAAAATACTAGAATTTTATACTTAAGAGAAAAAACTATTAATAATAGACATGACATGAATTTACATATTAAGTATAAGTACGATGTATAATATGAAATAACAAACAGGAAATAAGAACGTTAATGGCATGTAAAAGAGCTATTCATTCCTAAATCATCAACGTGGATTTTGTACTTGGAGCATTACGTCTTTCATCCCCATAGTACTAGAACTGTATTCGCCAAAAGTATCACTATTGGCTATCAAAGGAATAGTATAAAGATCAACTTGTTCACTTTCAATCATTATGCTACTCATCTCATTGTAGTTGTCTTGGCCATCCCAAGAAAGTTTGTTGAACTTCCTCAATGTTTCAAGCTCCATGGTCACTTCTTTCATGCTAGGTCGGTTCTGACCTAATTGGTTAAGGCATCTACATGCCAGGTCACATGTTGATTTTAGCTGCTCATCAGTTGCCTCATTTACTACTTGGTGATCAAGAATGTCAAGCAATTGATTTTCCTTCATTGCCTTCAGAAAGTAAGTTGCAAGGTTCCGTTCTTCTAAGCATCTTTCCACACTGAGGGGCTTTTTGCCCGTTAAGAGTTCTGCAAGAACGACTCCGAAGCTATACACATCACTYTTGTCTGTTAGTTGGCCAGTATGAAAATATTCAGGATCCAAGTACCCCAAAGTTCCTTGAACTAGTGTACTGACTTGATCATGACCCAAGGGGACTAACCGTGAGGCACCAAAATCTGCAATTTTTGCAGTATAATTATCATCCAACAAGATATTAGTTGATTTCACATCTCTATGTATGATGGACATTCTAGCATATGTGTGAAGATAAGCGAGTGCACCAGCCGATTCATGTGCTATCCTTAGACGATTGTTCCATGATAATCTTCCCAAGCCACTTGTTTGATTATGAATATGACGATCAAGAGTGTCATTAGATTCATATTCATAAACTAGTAATGGGACATCAGTTTCCAAACAACATCCCAAAAGTTGCACAACATGTTGGTGATTAATTTGTGTGAGAATCACCATTTCGTTTATAAACTGCTCCCTTTGTCCTTGATCCAGTCTTTGGGACTTCTTGATTGCTACGATACACTTATCTGGTAGAGTTCCCTTGTAGACAATGCCATTACCTCCTTTGCCAAGAATCATATCTTCCGCATAATTTTTAGTAGCTTCTTCTAGCTCTTCAACTTGAAAAATTTTYATGGAACCGATACCAACACCACCCTTGGTTTTTAGTTTATCTTGCAATAGCACACCACCATTTTGTTCGAAGAAACTTTCTCTTAGCTTAACTAGCTTCCTTTTCTGGGCCATGAAGTACAACACCGAGAATCCAATAAGTATCGCAAGGAATCCAATCCCCAAGCCTATATATGTAATTTTGTGAAAATTAGCATTTTTGTATAAGATGTAGGGTTCTGTATAAGAAGCATTATTAAGATCCAATAAACTTAAAAGTATAATTATTGACTCTATTAAAAAGGGTCGGACGTCCTAGTTGGCCTATTACGTTAGTTCAAGCATTAAAAGAAACACCAAAAATAATCACTGAAGAAAAGTTTTAGGCCCATCGTCAAGGGCAAGTAGCCAAAATATGCAAGATTGTTTTGCCGAAAAGTGTTTATGTGGGTACGGGTATTTGTTAGAATCGACACATGTTCTCAAGACTAGAAAGAAAAATAGAAATTACCTAATGAGAGTTGGAGAATTGGAATATTGCGACGACAACCACCTTGAATCTTGGCATCACCAGAATACCCTTGCTTACATTTGCATTTGTAGTTCCCCCCATCATTAACACAAGTTCCATAGCATGGAAAACGCTYCTTATCTTTACACTCATTGATATCTAGAAATAAAAGAGAACATCACAAAACATATCATAATACAAATAAAAGTAAACAATTATAAAAGTTGGATTATCATTTATTCACTTTGTCCAATCCTAAATAGATATCTGCTTAGTGTTTTGAATCATGCAGCATACATGGTTTCGAACTATGAACCATATATATACTAAAAAGATCTTAAATGTAACAAAAAAAATATATAAATATAAATAGCATATGACGTCTTAAAATTGTTTTAGAATTCAAAGAATGTTATACTACAAGAAATATCGTCAGCTAAAAGTTGTAGGTAATGAAACTTTTACCAGCAAATGACGACACCCGCCGGGCAAAAACAGAAGTGTTGGTAAAAGTGGATCCAAATTCATCGTGGACCAATATCTGTTGGCTTCTTTTTGATTTTTTCCGGCACTACGATTTATAACTTTTACCGGAGTCTTTGACAAAACCCGCCAGCAAAAAATGTTTATGTGACGTTAGATTTAGCATAGGCAATCCATTATATTTTATGGAACTCATAATTTCTTTAATTAGATCTGTATCACATCAACACTTTTTGCCTATGCATCCCTTTAAGTAACCGGTTTAGTATTACAGTAGTAGATGGTCTTGGAGAGTTGAATTTACCAAAGGTTATCATTGACTAAAGGAAACTTTCAAATCTAGAAATTGTCAATTAATTAAAGTAATTTACATCAAACCAACTTGATGATGCCTAGTTTGATATTGACTTTCAAACAAGTCATCGGAATCGAATGGTATGTGAAATAAGATATTAATTGATCGATCTAATGTTACCTAATCAGTATCATATTGATTTACTTCTCATGTAACCAAATTTATTGGCCGAACCTGGGGTGGTCCTAAGGGGACTCGAATTGGGGACGGTTAAGCTACCACTACAGCTGGTTTGACTTTACATTTGATTGAAGTTTTTCATATAGATTAAATCTTTAAGAACATATATCAAACTTGAGGAAATGTTGTGAAAAGAAAACACGATAAGTTGCAACAGACGTAAAGCTTAATGGGTAACTTAGATTTTACCTTGGCAGCCAGGAGAGAGATAGGGATTTCCTTCATAGCCCTCATTACAGATGCAACGGTATCCACGGCTTTCCCTTGTAGAGTTAACACACTTGCTATTTGATTGGCAAGCGAAACCATTCAATGCTTTGGCGTCAATGCAACTCATATTACCAATTGCCCATTCAAGCACTATTGGAACATTAGCTTCGATCTTTTTGTCCAAGGAAGTATCCTTCAAATCTCTTGCACCATGGAACTTGAATGTGTTTTCCTCACCGACAAATGCATGTGTACAAGGATTAAGAGTCCTCGTATTGCTCATGTTGTCTGATGACATGGGCTTGACCCGAGTTCTATAGTAGTTTATATCTTTCGGTATGGATGATTGACAACACCCATTTCCTGAACACTGGTCAYCTACATCCTCCAGTGTTGAGCAAAACGCCATACAACCTGTATATATGTTCCTAGATTTCGTTCCTGAAGTCAACCAAGCATAATCATTGCAGCCAATCACTGTGAACTTATTTACTTCCGAGAAGGTGTACGACCCATTTGTGAGATTCGAGGACATTCTGACTCCGTCTAAAAATGTGCCGTTTGGTAAATAGCATCTTGTAGCCACAAGATTGGAAGTCCGGAGTGTGGAATCAGATATGAGTTTGATTGAGGTGTAAGATGCTCTTCTAAAAGACGCCTTTGGAGGGTCTAAAGAAGTGTTACAATAGACATCAAAGCCGGGGCCTATAGAACAATGTGATTTGATGCCGATGCCAAAAGGGTAGGGAACAATTACATCTCCGCATCGGCTGGGGCAACCGGGCTTTGCTAAATTGGTAGAGTTAATGAGGGTGTATGTTTCAGATGCTGTAAAGGAGATCAACATTTGAAGTAGTACCCACATTAGAACAAGGGTTTTCATGGCTTTGTTTTGTATAGTATTTGAGGGGGTTCTCAATCTAACCTTATATCAAG